ACCATCCCATCCAACCCACAAAGTCAACCAACCAACCAACCACTTGACAACATGTTCGTCTCCAAGCACATCATCACCATCTTCACAGTCTTGCTCGTGGGGACGATACAAGTCCAGGCCATATTAAACTGCAATGAGTCTTCCCTGGAGCGCGGTTGCCGCAATGGAAGAAAAAACTGTGGTGGAGGTCCGAGTGGTGGTTATAGCATTTTATGCTGTGACCAATGTTAGAGGGTGCACTGTTTTGCACCCTGGGTTTGGAGGGAGACTCTAGTTGGATGGGGATTATATAGTAAAGTTGTTCAGCTGCTAGTCATCTTGTTTGGTTGAACGATATCGAATGTTACTATGTACGTCCTTTCATCGCAGGGGGTGTGGGGCTAGGGACTCTTCAAATTCAAACTACGTTGGCTTCTAAAACTTCAATTACTATATATCGAATAATCATTACGTGAGGTTCTCGTTCATACTACTCCGTACATTAGTTTATTAGAGGATATATAAAATTCCTCACAAGCTTGTTTATATAATCGACGGAGAAACCCCCTAGTGCCCTGTAAATACTTGTAAGTACAAGGTTCCTCTCCTCTGCCGGTATAATATGATGTCCATGGTATGGTGGGCGGCCGGGCAGAACACGGATGACTCTTCTTGATGCCTGGGCTAGCTAGGCTGGGCTGACTACACTAAGGATGTGAATGTGGACGGGAGGGAAACGATATGGGGTAGCAAGGCAAGGCAAGGCAAGGCGGATATGGGGTAAGAGGCGAGCGATGTCATGGGATGAACAGGACAGGCGGATGAGACATCAGCTTTCAGTCCCCTTTGATATTCCCGGAAAAAAATGGAATTCTGTTTTTAGGATCTGACCTGATCTGATTTCATTCGATCTGAAATAAAAAGGGCGCTGCTGATGTTGTAGATCTGGAGAGACAACGCATCGCTTCTCATCAGATGACCCCTCTCGACCCCCTTCCAACTTTCCTCGGGCAGCGCTGATCTCTCTCCTTTTTTTCGTCTTTTTTTTGGGGGGGAGGGGGGGGAGTAGGATCATTTGATTCTTTGATTTAAGGTTGATTTTTGGTTTCTTGTGCGTAAGCGGATACGTGAGAGGCGATGATACCTCCGGAAGTGGGAGTGTGGAACATAGAAGCAGGGAAGGGTTATGTGTACTATTAATCAAATTCTGGACGTCCTTCGGGACACCATTAGTATAATGGTAGCAAAAATCACATTTCAAATCAACTTCTTTCTCCGGAAGGCTTTTTGGGGGGGGATGGGGGACGAGATAAAGTTATACTTTATTACTAGTAGGTAGTGGTCGCGTCTGTTATTATCGTTCGCACTTTATGAGATACTTGGTTAGAACTTAGACTAGACTTGGTATTAAACTACTCGGCGCGAGGGGGGCGCGGGAGATGAAGAAATTCCCGCTACTAGTAATAGTGTAAGAGGGAACATGATATATACCATGGTATACTACCATACCACTACACTATTATAGATTATAAATTATAGAAAATCCTAACAAACAAACAAAAGAACAACGTACAATGTCTCAAACCCTAACCTAACCTTCCTCCCTTTCGTTACTAAAGGTTTCCATTAAAAAAAGAGGCAGGCGGGTGTATGTACGCCTGACTGACACTAAAGCAGCCGATATCGGTATTATAATTCTTTCTTCTTCTTATTATTGTTCCTAATCCTAATAGAGCGTCAAAAAGATCTTGTTTTATTTATCTTATCCCGTTAACCCATATATACATACACACACAAACCCACGTTCCCAATTACATCACCTGCCAGGAACGAGAGACAGAAAACTACGAAGTACTTATCTTCGCTGAGCTGGCAGGTCTCGTGATCATACCCGCGGAGAACACATAAACATACACATACCCCCCTTTATCTATGAACGATCATTTGATTTATTTTATTTTATAAAAAAAGAATAAAATATATTCTTCAGGATAACCACAAAGGCACCCCCCGCCATCTCCCAAACCACCCCACCCTACCAAAAAAAAAGAACGATCGCTCCCGATAGCATGGCATGGCCGCCGTGCCGGGGAAAGGTAATCCGGTCCGCTGTGGTCTGGTCGTGTTCACTAACGAGGATATGGTAACGTGACATGTAGAAATCTACTGAATCCAGAACCTAGAATGTAGAAATGGGGAGGTTTTCGAGAGTCCCATCCATCTTTCAGTAGGAGGAATGTCCAGTTTTTTTTTGTGGTTTTGAGAAGCTATAGGTTAGTGTTCGGCCAGAATCCATTCGTTCTTTTCTTTTTCTTTTTGGCTTCTTTTCGGCTTGGGGAAGAGGAGAGGAGCCGCTGGGCTAGACTTTAACCCCCACGTTTTCATCTTTTCCTTCCTCGACCTTGACCAAGAGGCTCGATGGATGATGAAACGGCACGTGGTACTCACAAAGAAAAAACCCCACGTTAGTACGGGAGTAGCAAATTTGTTTTTCCTCCCACCCCTTGGCATCATCCTTCTTTCGGCAGCGTAGCCAGCTGTTTGTGATAAGATAGAATATCGATCCCGAGAAATAACAACATCTCGAGTCCAAAACCCCATAACCAAAGGCCTGGGAAAGTGGGTGGTCCCGGCGAAATGGAAATATTGGCTGATGATCACTCACTCAAGCATCAAAATCGAAGCATTGGGGATTCGGTTCCTTGGGTTCCCGCACATCACAAACGGCCTCGAGTATCGTATTGAGGTCGAGTCGCGTCGAGACAATCGCATCTTCGGTAATGAGATAATGAGATTAGGGCAAGGACGGGACCCCGGGGGGACGGATTAACGAACCGAGCGGAGCGGAGCCGAGGGAAGTTTGTGGATTTCCTTCTTTTTTGGGGCTCCTGTTGATCTCCTGTTTGTTAATGACGATCTAACCCCTTCCCCAAACCAAAAAAAAAAGTTTTCAAAGAGGAAACATTGTAATTCCGGCTCGAGAAATCCATGTTGCCGGTGCCGATGCTGGAAATGATTTCTTTGCCTGTCCAGGCCCTCGGGATATCCGCTGTCCACAATTTCTGTCTTCCTTACCGAGGAACTGAGACAAGGACGTTGACATTGACGTTTTCTTGGAGATTTTGTAATCTGTTTTTTACTGCCCGATTGAAATAACGGATATCTGCGTTTGTAAGTGTTGTAATAATGCAGGCGTGATGTGATGCTCGTATTTGCAAAGTGGAAAAACGGATACGCATTTCCAATTGTTTATTTACAAAGTAAATACGTGGTGAAGAGGTGCACGAGGTACAAGTCGAACCCTGGACCTCGATCCCAAGAACTCTCATCCACCTCCGCCAAAAATCGGCGTCTAGAGAATCCAAGTGGGTTTATCGCGGGTTTTGAAAAAAAAATTGTAAAGTTCGAGAAGAGGGGACTGATGGGGGGTTTTCTTGTGAGGAATTCTGGCAACTGGCTCAAGAGCTAACACGCAAATTCCCGGGTTGACTGAAGTGGTCATTCTTCCAATTTACACTGGGTTGGAGTGGGTTACTTGGTAGTAGTGAGTGGAGTAGAGTGTCAAAGACGGTCAAGTAGTGACGGTAGTAATAAGGCGGTTTACAAATGGCATGCAAGTTCAACGACGGTGAAGTTGGCGGTGACCAAAGGTTGCGTTAGCACCTCTTTTGGGAGAGATACGGAGTAGGTGTCGAGAGGGTCAAACAGTATTTTGGCCGAATTGCTCCATTAGGCGAAAAAGCCCAAGCCGGAATAGATCCAGCGTTCTAGAGCAAGGCTGGGGGTGTTGATGGAGCGATGGAGCGATAGAAGGCCTAGCGCCACCCGCTCCTCCGTTCTGGGCTTTGGCTCGGGCTTTGGCTGTTGCGATTGCCTTGATCCGGATCCATAGCATCGGCAATTTTCAGTGGACACCACACCACACCACACCGGACTCGGCCCAGGAGAGTCAGGCTGACCCTGGGCTGTCCTGCTAACCTGACGATGGGAAGAGGGGAAGGCTGAGAGTGGAGGAGTGGGAGTGGGAGTGGCAGTGGCAGTGGGTTACCGTCGTGACCGTGACCGTGATTTGCACCTGCGACCAGCTATGGCGAGTTGTTGCTTTTGGGGCGCACATCAGCTGGTACGGGGACGGGTACAGCACTACAGACAACAGCGTACGGATACCACTTCTGTACGCTGTCTGGCTCTTCAGATGATGTTCAGTTAGGGGACAGGCTGCTGCAGCCCCTGCTCAGGCGGTTGACTGGCACGCTGGTGCTTGCTGGCTGACTTTGGGCCTCGACGCGAATGGCATGGGCGATCTCGATGCGATGCCATGCGATGGTGACTTTTGCGACTCAAATCACTCGACTTGAGTTGCCGTTCCAGTGAGTACTTTACTCGTACGGTAGTGGCAGCGCTGCAACGCCCAAGAGGCTCGCACTCGCCTCGCGCACACGAGACATGAGCAATGCTGAATTGCGTGGCCGCATTGATAGCCATCCGCACCCCTATCCTATCCACCTCGACCGCGAGCACGAGCACGTTCACGTTCACGTTCACGTTCATCAACACGAGAAGGAGAACTTTGGTCAGAAATACGGTACCGTCAGCCTCAGCGGCTTGGTGGTCCATCATACCGAAATGTTCCGTACGTGTTTACGCTCCAGCTCTTTTTGCAGATGAGTGAGTTGCCCCACGTACAGTACGGAGTACTCGTAGCGGGAGGAATACCGGTGCACATATGACGACGCTGCATTGAAGGCGTTACTTGGAAGTACTTCGTAGTTGGGCTCAACTCTCAACTCCCGTTGCCCCTCATGATGGACCTATCGCACACGCATCCACTGGCATCAATGCATTGCCCATTCTGTTGGATATCTAAAGATGGGTACTCGTAGCCGCTCCACTAACGCCTGGCCAAAGAATCAGGTGTTGGCGTCTACTGTCGGCCTGGATGGCATTTGTATGGAGTAGCAGAGTAGGTATGGACGTATCTGGAGTCTGGAGTCTCGAATCTACTGTACGCTCCGTGGGGTCTAGACGGTACCAGTACCAGCACTCTTCTTGCTAGTGCCATTACTCTTCTTACCAGTGCTATTCCTCTTCTTACCAGTGCCATTACTCTTCTTATCAGTACTCGTCCCAGTCCCAGTCCCAGTACCAGGAATGCGGTTGCAGTTGCACAGTTTCGATGCGAAGCGAAGAAGAGGCGAGCCAGAGACCAACCACCAGCATACCACCAGCACCCAGCACCCAGCACCCAGCACCCAGCAACCAGCAACCAAGTCCACCATGTAGAAGTATAGGTAGAGCATTATAGTCAATGGAGTCATTTGCGTGTCGCTGAAAAATGTATATTTATACTTCGTATGAACGTGACATTGACATCACCAGGGAAGGCAGCACACAATACCGCACCACCATCGTCAGACGTGCGAGATCAGATCAATGGTGCGAGCAGTCCCGAGTCCCAGCGGAGTAGAGGAGTGCTTCGTAAGCAAAAGCAAGTGCAAGTGCGAGCATCGAGAGCAGAGCAATCGGGCATCAGCATCAGCATCAGCATCAGCATTCGGATCAGCAGAGAATGGCAATATTGAGACTCATGAGCATCTCGAGAATCTCATGGCCCCCATGCCCTCCCTACACCTGTGCCTACACCTACACCTACGCCTTTGCCATACATCGTCGTTGGCAATCCCATGCCCTGCCTGCCCTGCAATGGAAGGTTGCTGCTCACTGCGCCGATGCTCTGGAGACTGAACACTGAAAGGGATGATCAAGAGTTTGGCAGTCTTTGCTTGCCTTGTGCCCTGATTCAAATGAGTCCCATTATTCTGGGCGCGCACTCCCACACTTGTCTCAAACAGGTAATTCGAAATGCTGCCTGATCCAGCCTAGCCCCGCCACACCAAACTCACGCTAAGTCCACCGCTCGCAGAGGGACAAACACCCTGTCCATCCCGCCGACAGGGCCAGCCAAATAAGGACTTGGAGTTCCCACACATGCACTGCACTGCGTCCAGGTCTGCGAACTCTTCACCTTCCAAAGAAACAACGAACAACGTCCACAACTACCAGCAACTACCCACCGCATCCGACCGCAAACAATTCAATCTCCACTCATCCATCTTCATATCAACCGCAAAGGAAGATTCCCATCAACCACCCGCACAATCCCAATCACCGCAGACCGTCCTCGTCACCCTTTCATCCGTCATCGCTTCATTCACATACGAGCCCTCTTCCAACACCACCACCAGCCGATCTATGTGACTCGTCTTTCCACTCCACGACCAACACACGAGTACCATACAGAAAGTCCTAAATACTCGGGACGACTCTCCGCTCAACAGAATTCGATATTTCCCATCTCGCGACATACTGCGAGCACCCACATCAGTCCTGTCTCCCCACTAGTAGTTGCTCGTACAATCGAGCAGATCTTTCAAGATGCCTGCCAGATTAACTGCGCCCGTCTTGACCGTTGACGCCGGACTAATTCACAAACTCGACACCCGAAATCCTGAGAATCTCTTTAGCATGTGGACAGGTGAGCCTCACCTTCAACGGTAGCAACCTGCGACCGAATACTAATTTCCCATAGTTCTTTCAAGATGTTCTGGATCAATCGACGGAGGACCACGATACGAGAACCTTAGTTGGCGACTATGGAGCAGAGAAGTCTTCTGCTGCGATCCCAAATCCGAGACCGCGGTCGCCACGTCTCCCATCTCAACCTCCGCACGAAGTTCCGAAGCGCAATCTCCAAATGAGGTCCCCAGTCTATCTGGAAGCGTTGACTCATTGGTCTACCAGGAGGAGGCAATTGACTTCGAGTCTGGTAGCTCCGATGTTACTTGCGCACCCATCGAAATGCACACCTCCCGAGCCGATTCTATTAGCAGTCGAGTAAGTCGAGGCCGCGAGAGACACATCACTCCCCAAGATCTTGAGAAGATGGTATTCACTATCAAGGAAAAGAAGGATTTGGAACCACTCCCACCCACCATTGACACATCCGCCGCGGTATTAGTACCACTGACTGAAGACTCGAAGACTCCAAAGATCGTCACTGAGCTCACTTCCAAACCATCCACTCCCTTTGAATGTTCAATCACTTCCAACTGCGCTTCTGAAAACTCCCACGCAACCTCAGATGGTGCAAGTGGCGTTTCAGAACGCAGCACGACTAGCATTGTTAGAGGGTTTTCGCCATCACATGTCAGCTCCTCTTTCAGAACTATCCCTCTTGTCACCGCCCCCTCTAGTGAGGAGGCCGCACTCGCCAAAACAAAAAAGCATGCCATGTTTGCTCTTGGTGGCTCTTCTGGTGAGGATTCCTTGAGCGAGCACACCGACGCCATTCAACAAAACTTGCAACTTAAGCCGACGAAGAAGAAGACTGCCATATTCTCTTTTGGTGGATCTTCCAACGAGGAAGAAAGCTCATTGCCACACAACATGGCCAATGGCGTACCAAATGGGTTCATGCGATCCCCTGTGGTCAGAAAGCAAACTTCGTTTCGAGAAGAACTTGCTTCGCGCACCATCCAAGAGGAATCATCAGCTCTCAGTGATGATGTCTTTGAGACTGACGATGAGGATGAGATTGATGAGAGTGCCATCGACGATGACGATGACTCATCTGACTGGGAGGATTCAGTCGAGGACAGCGGCAACCCCAGCATTGATGAGAAGACCTTTTTCCAACGCGTTGACTCGAGACCCGCTTTAACTTCCCGTCGCTCACTAATCGCCACCATGCTCCACCAGAACGACCGAGCTACTGCACTTGCCCAAGCAGCTGCAAATACCTCCAGATCTACTCCAGCCCTCTTGCGATCAAGAACCACCTCACCAAATGGTCCATCTCTTGCTGCCTCTCCCGATTCGGATGACGCTAGCCCTCTAATGATGAAGAGAAACAGCCCAGGATTGAAGCCTATTGCTGAGATTCCTCGTTCTTCAGCACAACCTATCCTCGCAGTCCCAACCCCCGGACCATTACAACTCGCACTCTCACCTCGAACAACCCGCCGCAAGATGATCAATGATGAACTCACCGTCAGCTTGCGCCAACATCTAGTTCATGAACATCGACAAAAATCTCAAACAGCCAATGCTGTCTTGCAACGACGACACACTACTCAGGATGTTGCCAACTTGAAGCAATACCCAGAGAAGGTGCACATGAACAACAAGGATGGAGACGCTTTGAATAATAGCTGGAACCAATATTTTGGTCAAGGCTTGGGCGAATACCACTCCAAGGGTTGGTAAATACGGATTTCTTTTGAGACAAGTCCCTTAATGATAATTCGAGATATCATCGGTTGCACATCGGCGGTTACCAGCGACCACATATACATATACGGTTTGGCCTACAGTATATTCAATATACGAACGGAGTACGTCTACAGCCAAACAACGGCTTCGCAGCCAACAGCATTCATCGTCTTGGTATTCTTGGCACAGAACCAGACGTGAGGTTACCCGGAGTGAAGGACATGGTAATGTCTATTGCTTGCAGCGACAGCATTTTGCTTTTAAGCGGTTTCCTTTCTTGTGTGAACATAGCATGCACGGAACGGCCTCTACATTGGTGGCGTTATTATTTTTGGCCTTTTTTTTTTTTCGCCCTCGACCATGTATACACCTACTTGATTGGGTATGACATGCAGTGGCAAGGCCAACGGAGGAGAAAAGGGGTATCTTTTCCTTCCGATGTTAATTTTTTTCTCTTGCTTTTACGATACCTTGGCTTGGCTTCTTTTGGCCAGTCACAAATATTGGCGTTATACGGATGATACCAGGGCATGGAATTTGTTTTTTTCTTATTGATTTTTTTTATTTCGCATCAGTCTTTTTTTTCCCTGTGTGTTTGTGTGTTCGGGACCAAAGAGGAAACGCCTTTTGGGGCTACCTGCTTTAGGTTTCGTTGTACATGTTGTACAGGGGTGCGTGTTACGATTAGTGAGCATTGAAAAGAGGGTGGTAGTGGTTGCGGTGAAGCAGCACATTTGTGCTATACCCATTTCTCAGTGGGGGGAAGCATATAATGTGGGGAGGAGTGAAATTGGGAAGGGGAAGCAAGTAAGCTTTTTGGTTGGTGGAAGATGGATGGGATGGGATCATAGCGAGTGGGGGGAGGGAAAGTGTATGAGAGGTTTTTAGCTATATTTTGATGGCCAATGGGGTATAGCGCGATGCTTTTGCTCCCTTCTACACTTTCAAGGAAGTTCCGAGTTTAGTAGGAAGCCTGAGAAAAAAAATATATAAAGCGTTCAAAATACTTTTGATTATTCTCTTTTGTCATATGAGATCTCTTTTGACAAATAACTTGTGTGTGGGTTTCCCGTTTCGCTTTGTGGTACTTGGGGTTTTTTAGGGGAGAGAAGAAAGGAAACGGAGTCTTATTCTTTCTTCCCTTTGTTTTTGTTTTTGTTTTCCCTCGGCGAAGATTGTTTATCTTTCCTATCTTTTTTTTTTTTT